GTGGGGTGGGGGTGGGGCAGGCTGCAGGCTCAAGTAGGGGGGCTGTTTCCCATGACAGCACGCACTCCAAGGGGAGTAAGGGGGACCTGTGCTCTCCAGATCTGTGTGCGGGGTGTGGGTTGCCCACTTCAGGCTTGTGCTCCCTGCCCTGCTGCTGTCCCTCAGGCTTCTGCAGCCCAGCGTGTGCTACCCGGTGCTGCAGGGAACAGCAGAGCCACAGAGGAAACTGTCTGCCACTGCAACCTCTGTGCTGCCCATGTTCCCTGTGAGCAGCCCCATGCTGCCACCCCCGCTTCAGCCACGCAGGGAAGGGATGCCTTGCCAGGGTAGTGCGGAGTTTGCAGAGGCAGGCAGCTTCCCGTGCAGCCCTGGTGTTCTTTGCAGCATTGGGTCGCGCATATGGCTGTGGAGGCATCAGGGGAGGGCAGCAGGGCAGAAGCCTGCAATGGGCAACATATAGTTTTCATCCCGTGCAAAGATGTGGAGGGGCACGGGTTCCCTCTGCCCCCCAGAAGTGTGCATTGTAGTGGGAAGCAGCCCCCCCTCCCCCCCGAGCCTGCAGCAGACTGGGAGCTGGGCTCTGCTCTGCTGCAGCAGCTGCTGCCTCCTGGCTGAGACAGGGGGCTGTGGACCCAGGTCCCTGGCCCCATAGTCCTGGCAGCTGGGATCTGCCTCCAGCAGAGCTGGGGGAGCAGGAGCTGTGGGCTAGAGACCAGCGGGGCTGAGAGGTTGTGGAGGCACCAGCAGGGCCAGCGGCTGTAGGGAACAGGGTAGTGAGTGGCACCAGCGAAGCCAAGGAGCTGTGGGGAGAGAATGACGGGCATCAGCGGGGGGGAGGAGGGGGGCTTTAACTTTAATCACTGATTTGGAAGGTTTTTGTCAGAGAACTTGTGAATTTTTTTTATTGGGGGAAACCAGGATCCCTGGAGATGAGGAACTAAATAACACTTGATAGGTTTTAAATTCATCTGCTTATGAAAGACAAAGTCAGTGTATTTTGAGATGTCCTTCTTGTATTCTGTATATTTAGGTGGAAGTCAGTCATCTGAAGGCTAGACAGAATGCGCTACAAGAACAATTGCAAAAGTTACAGACAGCTGCTCAGGCAGCCCAGCCAGGAATTGTGCCACCAACCACTACATCAGCTTCCTTTGTTCCTGTGGTTAGACATCATTCTTCAGGTTTTCAAGGAGATGACATGGATTTTGGAGATGTAATTTGGTCCCAGCAAGAAATAAACAGATTGTCCAATGAAGTTGCTAGACTTGAATCTGAGGTTGATCATTGGAAACAGATTGCCCAGGTAGGTAATTTTCACCTGTATTTAGGACTCTCAATAAATTGAAGACTCTTTGAGCCAGCCACATGAAAGTGCATATAAAAGCAAAATGACTTGATGGAATGACCACAGGACTAATTGCTAGGAACTAAAGAGCTCTTATTCCTGTTTTGCAACCATGTGAGTCTGGAGACTCTACATCCACTATTCTTTGTGTAAAATTGCCTAGTTTCTACAGACCTAACTTCTTGAAAGAGTGAAAGGATTAATTAATATGTTTGACACTTCAAAAATATACAGCGCAACATGAATTCTAAGAATTAGTACCATATTCTTCTGAGGGGGAAGATAAAAATTTAATTATAAAGATGGAATTTAATCTTTGGTAAGCAGTTGACTAATAACAGGTATTATATTTTATTCAGTTAGACAAAGAGTTTAATAAACGTACTAGGATTTGCTCAAAATATGACCTTACAGAATTTTCATATATAGGCTTTTCAAAAGTACTTTTGGGGTTTTTTTTTTAGCTCTGCCCTTAATTGGGTATTGGCAAAGAGATTTACAAAAGGATAGTTGCAGATTTTAATACAATTTTACTTTTCATGACTTCATTTTCTTTTTACTACTAAATTTCTTTGTGGATCATTTGCAAAAGCACATATTTTCTGCTTGCTGTCATCAAGTACAGCAGAAACTTAAAAATTCTTAACTTACGTTAGTAGTCCTTAATCAACTAATTCAGTTGATTACAATTATACTGCTTGCTCTCAGAGCTGTGCAAATAAAGTAATGGCTTCTGTGAATTTTTACTGAAATGCAAGAAACTGATCAAATTTTAGTGTCTCATAAATGCAATTAAATATAGTGTGAAATTTAAAAGAAAAATCTGCTAACAGCTATTCTTGAATTTAAGTTTAAGAAATGTTCTCCATTATAGTGTTTTTTTCTAAGCTGGCAGTTGTGATTGTAGAGCCTCTGGCCATTGTCTTTTGAAAACTTGTGGCAATGGGGAGAGGTCTTGGACAATTGGAAAAGGGAAAATATAATGCCCATTCTTTAAGTAAGGGAAGAAGGAGCAGCTGGGGAACTACAGACCAGTCAGCCTCACTTTAGTCCTGGGAAAAATCATGGAGCAGATCCTCAAATAATCCATTTCTAATCATATGGAGGAGAAGGCGATTAGGAATGGTCGGCATGGATTCACCAAGGGCAAGTCAGGCTTGAACAACCTGATTGCCTTCTGTGACAAGATGACTGCCTCTGTGGATGTGAGGAGAGCAGCGGACATGATATACCTCGACTTTTTAGCAAGGCTTTTCATACCATATTCCACAACGTTCTTGCAAGCAAGCTAGGGAAGTATGGTTTGGATGAATGTTGGACTGTAATGTGGGTAGAAAACTGGCTGGATTGTTGAGCTCAAAGAGGAGTAATCAATGCCTCAATGTTTAATTGGCAGCTGGTATCAAGTGGAGTGCCCCAGGTCTTGTGGCTTGTTGTATTCACTGTCTTCATCAACAGTCTGGAAGAGGGGATGGTGTGCACCTGCAGCAAGCTGGCAGATGCCACTAAGCTAGGTGGAGTGGTATATATGCTGGACAATAGGGCTAGGGTTCTGAGTGACCTAGGCAAATTGGAGGATCGAACCAAAAGAAATTTCATGACGTTAAATAAGGACAAGTGTGAAGTCCTGCAGTTGGGATGGAACAATCCCACACATGGCTGTAGGCTGGGGTTGAATTGGTTAAGCAGCAGCTCTACAGAAAGGGACCCGGGGGTTACAGTGGACAATAAGCTGAATATGAGCCAACACTGTACGCCTGTTGCAAAGAAGGCTAACAATGTACTGGGCTGCATTAGTAGGAGTGTTGTCAGCAGATTGAGGGAAGTGATTCTTCCCCTCTATTCAGTACCAGTGAGGCCCAGTCTGGAGTACTGTCTAGTTTTGTGCCCCCACTACAGAAAGGATGTGGACATATAGGAGAGAGTCTAGTGAATGGCAAAAACAAAATGGTTAGAGGTCTCTGGCACGTGACTTATGAGGAGAGGGAACTGGGTTTATTTAGTTTGGAGAAGAGAAGACTGAGAGCAACCTTAACTTACCTGAAGGAGGGTTCCAAAGAGGATGGAGCTAGACTGTTCTCAGTGGTGGCAGATGACAGAACAAGGAGCAATGGTGTCAAGTTGCAGCAAGGGAAGTTTAGTTTAGATATTAGAGAACACATTTTCACTAGGAGGGTAGTAAAGCACTGGATCAAGCTACCCAGAGAGATTGTGGAATCTCCATCCTTGGAGGTTTTTAGGACCTGGGTAGATGGAACCTTGGCTGGGATGATCTAGTTGGGGGTGGTCCTACTTTGAAAATGGGGTTGGACTAGATAACCTCCTGAGGTCCCTTCAAATCTAACTTGCTATGATGCTATAATTCTATACTGTTTGAAGTGCTTACACAAAAAATCTATTTCCCTTTATCTCAATTTATTTTGCCAAACTGAAGTATAATTTTTTTTCTTGCTTAGTCTTCCAAAGTACAAAGAACAAATGATGATGAACAGAGTGAAATCTGCAAGCTGCAAAATACCATCAAAGTAAGTGACAATTTTGACAAATCAACCCACACTTATACTTTGCTTCTCAGACCTTGGAGCACAAGTGCTGATATGAGCAGCTCCCATGACTTGTCAGGTCCTTCACACAATTACAGTGAAATGTGTGCATAGTGTTTGCAACATTAGGTCCTAACTCTTTTGCATTAAAAATATATTAGCATGTGATTGACTAAAGTGTTGCTGCTTTCTATATTTCAAAACATATCTGATAGGGAGTGGATTTATAAGTGCCTTTTAGGTTGGCTATAAAATAGACTTAAAATAAGGCTTGCAAGAGTAAGTCCAAACCACATTGAAAAATAGCCAGTCATGTGTGGTGCTTCAGGTTCTGGATGTCTAACAGAGTAAACTGGCAGTAGGTGTTCCCTTCCTACCCCAGAGCGGGTGGTGAGTTGTTACAACTTCTGCTGCTGTTTTAGTCCTGTTGTGTTTGGAATCCTAGTAATAAATAGGGACCTGGTCCACTGGACCAGTGATTCTCAGCTATAATGCTCTGGTACCCTGGGGTACCATGAGTTTCTTTTAAACGTACTGTGCAGAATTAATGCTATTAACTGTGCAAACACCTACACATTCACACAAACACATAGGTATAAGATGGGAATTCATAGTATAAAAAACATTGTGAAGTGTCATGATCTTTTGGCGTTCTGTGTAGCAGAATAATTGCTCTTTTCCATGGTTATGAAATGAGTAAAAGCAAAGACCTCAGATTTTCTGAGGGGTGCCTTGAGTTTAATGAAGTCAAAAACTGCTGTGCTAGATCCTACACAGGCACAGAAATCAATGGTAACTTTAAGGCCATGTTTGTATAGCTTATCTCCTGGCCTTGTCTGCCTCTGACAACCCTTCCAACCCCCACCCCCTCTTTTGCACTCACTTCTGATTCAGCAACTAGGAAAAATAGATGGCATGGGAGGAGTCATAGGGGTGCTTGGAGAAGACTAAAGTGCTAGTGTCAGTCCCTTGATCCCTTGGCATAGCTCCCTGATCCCTGCTCTCACTAGAAATAGTCTAAACGTAGCCATCATACATATGCATGGTTGCTCTGAGCTGTCTGTTCTGCTTGAATGCCAGTCTGACACACCCAAGTGGGAGTGAATCAGTGCGGGTGTATTTTGTCAACCAAGATTCTGGTGTTGGGAAGGAAGCCATTTAGAAATGTTTTACATGTCATGTACTTCTTCAAATTCAGTTCCTCTGAGAATTTTAGTCTTACTATTAAGTATGATACCAGTATTAAATATGAATACTAATATTTAGTATCCTACTGCTTATGGTTTTTATGTAGGTGCACTTAGAGCTAAATTATAGCTTTTATTTACTGATGTTTAACATTGCTGCACGTGGCAAATACTGGTGAATAGTTATGCTGCTGGGATTTTAGCTAGCGATATGTGGTTACATGCATGATAAATTACACACACATGGTCATTTTAAAATTGTTTGTCGACCGTATTTTATCTTGCTTAAATGTGACCTGATTTCCATGCATTTCCAGTACATTGTGAGGTAAGAGTATGGGTAGAATTTGGTGTAACTTTGAATTTGCTAATTTTTACTTGGCTCCCCACTTTTTATTTTAAACGCATCTTATCTTATAATAAAAGAAGGGAAGGAGCTTTCCTGGTAGTTAAAGGCCTAGCTGCAGGAGCTGAAAACAACTATTTAAATTTATTACTGATATAAAATGTGCTGGTGGTGGGTGGTGTTTGCATTAATAAAATCAAGCAGTTACCTTTTCTATATTGAAAATTTCAAAACTGTGCTGCTGAGGATAGGGTTTGATGTATGCTAGTAATGTCTTGCTTAGAGCTGAATATATGTGAAAATAAAGTAGGGGTATCTTGTTTTGGTAGTGCCTTCACCACAGTTATGAATGCTTAAGGCAGTTTTCAAATTAGAAAAACTCTCAACAAGCCTATTTGAAGTTTGAATCAGATCAGGTTTTTACATGAAACTTTCATTCTGGACAAGATTATCATGTAGCCATGTTCATTTGAATGTGGCCTATGCGGTATGTTGCGCCACAGACTCATCTGTGGTGCCACACACTGCATATTCAGGTGTTCTCCACACTGCAAAGTAGCAATGCAGTAGGTTTTTTTTTTTTTGACTCTGGGAGATTCCAGCATCCAAAAAAACCCATGTGAAAAAAAAGCGGGGTGGTAGACACGGGGGCAGTGCATGCTGCCCAAAACAAGAGCTTGGCTGGCCAGAGCCGCACTCTGGCTGCTGGCCAGGCTCCGAGTGGCAGGAGTGCTTCTGCTGTCCCAGGAGGACCCCAGGTAAGGCTGCTGGGGCCAGCCCGCCTTACTCCACCCGGGATAACCTGCTGCACATTAGAGGGCGTGTGGCACAGGTATCCCCCAGGGAAAGATAGCAGTGGTGCAAGGTGTGCTGCTGTTTCTTGTCCATGGGAAACAAACGTCCGCATTCATGTGGATGTGGCCCTACAGTCTAACACATCTCCTTCAAATAGCTGTGAGTGGCATTTAATGCTGCAGCCGGTTCAGACGGTCTTTTGTACCACTTGTGTTATATGGTCAAGAATATGTAGGTAGAGGGCAACTTGGGTAACAGCGACAGTGAAATGATAGTGTTTAGAATTCGAAGGTAGGAAAGAGAACATTAGAATTAAGACACTGGACTTTAGAAAAGCAATCTTTAAAAACTCAGGGAACTGGTGGGTAGGATCACATAGGAGGCAGTCTGAGGATTCCTGGAGAGCTTGTACCTTAAGGAAGCTGTATTAAGGGTACAAGAGCAGGTTATTCTAGTGCAGGGGTTCCCAAACTGTGGTATGCATACCCCATGTGGGGTACGTGGGAGAAATTGTGAGATGGCAGGTTTAATTTTCATTATAATAATTGGCATTTAAGGGGTTAAAATATAAACCGTATGCTGGTAGGGGTATGCAGGCAACTGGTAAATCTGGAAGGTAGTATGCAATAAGAAAGTTTGGGAACCTCTGTTTTAGTGCAAATAAAGGATAGGATATGCCTCAGGTGACAGGCCCGGCTAACTAGCAAACCCTTCAGTGACATGAAACACAAAAGGAATCTTACAAAAAGTTGGGATGTGACCATGTACTCCTTTCAGCAGTAAAAGGAAGACCAAGAAAGGTGTAGGTCCCTTACTCAATGCAGAAGGCAATTTTACAATGGATTCTGAGAAAGCTGAAGTATTTAATGAATAAAAGTTCAGCTACCTGATGATAAAGCACACCTTGCATCAAGGACAGGGGAGGAGACAGCCTGGAATAGCAGAAGTACAGGTTAGAGATTGCTTAGAAAAGTTGAATATTTTCATGCCAGCTGGATTGAATGACAATAACGAAGTGGTGGACTGCGCACAGGGACAGGACAGTGGATATAGCTTTGTGTTAGCAAGGCTTTTGCCATGTGCATATCTTAAACTACTACTGTCCGTGTAGTGGCAGCACATTGACAGAGCTCTCATCCTACTACTTGACCTGTGGCAAGGTAGGGTATTTTTAATGTTTTAGGCAATGTACTGGTAGGTTGTATATGTGGGTTGTAGCTGAAATTCTTAAGAATAGATTATACAAACACTTGTCTAGGATGGTTTAAATAGGGATGATTCTGCTTCAAGCTGGTGGTTGGACTGAATAGCCTCCTTGGGTCCTTTTTGAGTCCTGCTTTCCTATGACATTCTCATTAGTAAGCTAAGGAAATACAGTCTAGGTGAAATTACTGAAAAGTGGATACAGTACATAATTGGTTGGATCATTGTGTTCCATGAGTTAGTCATCCTGAGTTAGGGTTGATGTCTAATTGGGAGGAGATGTCACCTAGGGTTCCCCAGGGTTCTGTTTTGGATCCAGTACCTTTTAAAATCTTCACTAGTAAATTGGTGGCTGGGATTGAGTGCACTCTTGCAGAGACACCAGGTGAGAAGGAGTTGCATGGGATGGAATTGCAGATACTTTGGAAGATAGAATTAGTATCCTGAATGACCTTAATGAACTGGAGAAACTTTCTTCCTGAATTTCATTGAATTTCAGACCAAGGTCAAAGTCCTGCACTGAGAACAGAACAATCACATGACTAGGCAAGGACTGGCTAGGCTGCAGTATTGCAGAAAAAGGACCTAAGTCCTAGGAGTTATAGAGGACCTTAAGCTGAATATGAGCTAACACTGCTCTTTTTTTTTTTTTTAAACAAAAGCTAATAACATACTGGGCTGTTTTGAATAAGAACATCACTTGCAAGTCAAGGGAAGTGATTCGTTCACCCTGTTTAGGGTCAGTGAGGCCTCGCCTCGAGTGCTCCTTTCCGATTTTGTGCATTGAACGTCAAGAAAATGTGGAAATCAGAGTCCAGCAAAAAGGAACAAAAATGATCACAGGTTTAAGAAACATGACCTTTCCTATGGGGAAAGGTTGGAAGAACTGGGTTTAGTCTGGAGAAGAGAAGACTGAAGGGAGATTTGATAAGTCTTCAAAGACCTGAAGGGTGGTTATGAAGTGGATGATGATTGACTGATTAATCTGTTGCTACAGGGAACAGGACAAGGTGAAATGGTCTTAAACTGCAGCAAGGGTACTTTAGATTGGATATTAAGGACTTTCTTACTCTGAAGGATGTTAAGTTTTGGAACAGATTACCTTGAGCAGGAGTTGGCAATACACAGGCTTGATTTGGCCCATGGAGTCACTAGATCCTGCCCATGGAGTTGAGAGGTGTGGCTTTGCCCATGCCAGGGCCAGGCAGCAAGGAGCTGTGCCAGGGCCAGGCAGCTTCCAGCTGTGTCCACACCACCGCTGCTGCTTTCTGCCTCCTGGCTTCATTAGTTGGGTGGTTTTGGTGGCATGTCAGTGACAGGAGGCTTTGACTGTCCCTGCACTAGGACGAGGCAGCTGAGAACTGCGCCCACACTGCCACCACTTCCCCCAGCCTCCTGCTCCCCAGGTGTGATATAAGTGCAGCTTCCAGCCGGTGGGGAGCTGCTCTGGGGCCAGGTAGCTTCCAACTGTGCCTGTGCCACAGCCAGGAGTGAAGGAAGAAGGGAGAAGCAGCAGCCACACAGTTGCAGTTTGCACATGCCTGGCCCCAGCGTAGCTCCTTATGGGTTGGAAGCTGCATCTGTGCCGCAGCTGAGGAGCAGGGAGCTGACAGAAGTGTTGGTAGTATGGGTGCAGTTCCCAGGTGCCAGGTCGCAGTGTGACTGTGGGGAAAGTCCCGTGCTGCTGACACTGTTGAAGACACCTGGCCTGCATTGGACCACGACTGGGTTGTTTCAGTCTGAGGATTGTAAAAGGTTGCCAGTCCCTGACCTAGGGAGGTTGTAGAATCCTACTTCACTGGAATGGCTTAAGCAAGGATGACCCTGAATTGAGCAGCAGCTTGGGCCAGAAGCTGACCTTTCAGGTTTCTTCCAGCTCTCCTTTAATATGGTTATTCCACAGAATCTTGCATCCAGAACAGTATGGGGTTTTTTTTTCAGTAGTTGTTGAACTCTTTTAGGGTGTAGCATGCTGAATAAGTGGCATATTTTGTTGTTATTCAAACCAGCATATTCGGTTTAGGAAGCTGAGGATGAACTGAAAGCCTTTATCACTGCTGGTTATTAAGCGTTATTATGGATTGTTTATCTAGATCAGGGGTGTCAAAGATGCAGCCTACAGAACCCCATCATCTGGCCTCCCGTGCTGCCCCTGGATCTTGAGCTGACCCACAGACAGCAGCACACAGCACGTGGGGGCTGGCCCCAGGATACACATTGCACACAGTGTACACTCCAGGACCTATGTAGCATGAGTTTTGGCTTTCCATTTCCTGATTATGTTGACAAGTGAACTTGCTTACTTGCTTGTCAGCAATACTATACATTATCACTGTTGGGGTTTTTTGTATGATGCTATTATAGAATCCTTCATTAACAGTGTTTGGGTTCCTTTTTGTTGCTGCTATATAGTAGAACTAAAAAATAATCTCTCTACATTGAGACTGCCTTCACCTGATTATACTGTAATTTAATAATAGGGTTAACAATGGAAGAAGGAAATCCAAAAAAACAATTTAGTCTTCTCATAACCTAGTAACTCACTTTGCCTGTGTGCCTAAGCTTGTAAGCTCTTTGGCACTGTGTTTATTTCTATATCGTGTACCATACCAGACACTGTTTGCATAAATTACTTCGTTTAAAAGGTGTGTGCTGTTTTAGTTGTGAAATATTTGGTAGATCTATGTGGTACAAGGCCTTTAATTTTCTTAGGTACAAGAGAATCTCCTTTTTAAAACATATATACAGTGCAGTAGAACTTTCTGTTCTGTATTTTATAATTGTTTTCGTCCAATCACACTTTAGGAGCTGAAGCAGAATTTAAGTCAAGAAATAGATGAACATCAACACGAGCTTTCAGTGTTACAGGATGCACATCGACAGAAATTAGTAGAGCTAAGTCGTCGACATCGAGAAGAATTAGGAGAATATGAGGAGCGAATTGAAGAACTTGAGAATCAGTTACAGCAAGGTCTTTATTATCCTGTGATCATTCTGTTTTATTAACTGCTGTTTTTAGTTTTCATTTATAAGGAAAATGTCAAATACCTGTAAAATGAGCAGTACAATTGGTGCTTGTTTTCATGAAGACTACTTTAGCTCTTCTTATGTTACTTTGGCTATAATTGACTTGAACTGGATTTTTTTTAAATATCTAATTTGGTTCTTTAGGATTTTTAGCTCCATCACACATTCTGGCCTAGATCTTAAATAAAAAAACCTTCAAACTTGTAGAACCATTTTTCACTGATATGAGAGTGCTTCTTGTTGAATGTTTTTGTTCTTCTACTTCTGAAAACTACCTGAGGTTATCATAATCTGCTAAGCTTTTTGCTGGAGAACAGAAACATCTCTTTGCTTGTGGAGTTTTTCTTAAACCTTTAAAATTTTCACCTTTATAATGTATGTCCATTTAGAATCACATTTTTCATATGCTAGGTAGTACGCTTTAAATCAAGCTTATTTTCAGCTTTTTGACATGCTTCAAAGGAGACTGCAGAAAACACAAGGTTAGAACTTCTTAGGACAGAAGTTCTGAAGGCATAAAGTCAGTGGACCACTTAATATAAGCTCAGATTTGGTGATGGGGTTTTCATAAGTGCCTAGATGGATTGGAAATTAATTGAAACTGGTTGACACTTACCAGCAACGAGTCCTTAGTTTTCTATCTGTTCTTGTAATGAGGTGGTATGTCTAGACAGGGAGTCAGCAAACTTTTATTAATAGAGGCTGCTGGTTGTGACCTGGGCAGTGCTGCAAGGCACCATTCCCCTCCATCCTCTCCAGCAAAGATGAGCAAAGGCTGCAGTGAAGAAGAGCAGCCCTCACAGGCTGGAACAGTTGGCTGGAGTGGCCAGAGGCAGTTTGCATGCCATTAGCAAAATGTGGACTGGATTGAATGGCTGGGGATTGGTTGGTTGTGCCCTTAGCAGAATGCAGACCGGCGTTGGACTTTTGTGGGCCAGATGCAGTCCTTTTGCAGGCCGTATCTGGTCCACAGGCTGTATGTTGCCAACACGTGATCTAGATGCATAAAAATGAACTTTTGTATGCCTCCAGTTAATTATGTCCTCTTCTAGTAAAACTTCTGGTAACAAACTTATAAAATTCACGCTTGAACTTGGAACTTATTTTTCAGTGTACTGCCACACAAAGAGTGCATGTTATCCTTTGAGCATGGGCCAGGAGACATGCAAGATGGATAAACAGAAGTGGGCAAAATGCTTTTTAAGAGCTTTGCAGCTTCTTGAAGTCTCAGCTAACAGTGACAGGGAATTTATTGAAGGATTCAGATGCCTGCTAAAACTGTTCTCTTGTCTTCAGCAGTTTTACAAAATAATTCTTTTAAAGAATCTTGGATAAAATCAGAGGCATAAGCCACACATCTTTTGCATAACAACTCAGCTGTAATAAATGTCATACTACTTGGTACAGTATATCTGTGAAAAATACTGTGCTGTACATTTGTTTTGGTGTTCTACCCACTGGGGAAACATCTTTGAGTAGATCCTGGAAATTCCTTTCAGAGTACACATGGACATAAATTGCTGAGTCACATGCCTTCATTTCAAAGTTTTTATCTACAGATTTGGCTTTCTGTCCTCCGCAGCTGTACAGTTGTTTTAAATGCTTGCTTTGTAAGTTGCTTTGCCCGCACAGCTCTGTGGAGGCTCTTAAAGTTTGAAGCATCTTTAAAAAGAAATGGTAATGTCTGCTAAATATGGTCTTGATGTGGAAAGCTTCATACATCATTTACAGTGAAATTGGCTAGCCTTGTGTGATGGGCAAATTAACACCTTGCATAATAATTTGTCTGCTTACTCTAGATTGAATTATAAATTCAAAAATGATACATAAAGTAACCATACCAGAAAGTTGCATTCATACATAGTCTATGGTTATTATAAGAATCTGTAGTTCTTGCACCCATTTAGTAAATTCAAGAACTAATTACAAATATAAAGCCAAAACCCTGAAGCATTAAAACCTGCCAACATAAATACATCTCAATGTAAAATTGTAGCCTATAATAGCTGTTTGTTATTTCTGCTAAATTAAAAAGAGAAAACTGACAAAACATAATAGCATTTACTTTTGAATGAACACGATAACCTAATGATATTATGGTCAAAACTATTATTTGGGTGGCTTATTTTTTCTTGATAAAATGTATAACTTAATATTGATTGGGATGCTGTCAGTATTTTTGACGTAAAGTTTACTAGAAGCTTTCCATGGAAGGGCCTTGTGATGCTATTTTACTGTTATAAACTCTCGTGTCTTTCAGGAGGTGCAGGCGCTGAAGTTACTGATCATTCTAAAATAGGTGAACTGAAAAAGATCATTCAGAACCTACAAACTGGAAAAGCAGAGAGCATGCACAATATGAAGGAACTGGAGGGTCACATTAAAGAACTAAATCAGAAATTAGTTTCTGCAGAAGAGAGAAATAACATCCTGCTTAAAGAGCAAGAATTGGTAAAGGTGGAAAAAAGCCAAATAATGCAAGAATATGAAAGGCTGAATTCTGAGTTTAGTAAGCTTCAAAATTCTGTTGCAGAGCAGGAGACTATTCTGAAAGAACAGGGGGGAAAGTTCCAACCTATGTCATCACCTGTGGAGGAAGAAGTGCTCAGACTACAGCAAGCACTGTTGGGTATGAAAAAATTGAACTACTCAAAAGATTATATGTAAGAATAGGCAGTTAAATACCATGAAAACAGCTGCTGCTTAAAAAAAAAAAGGGTTGGGCATTGAAAGGATTAAGTGAAAGGAGAAACAATTAGGACTATTTTTGGCTCACTGTGATGACTTAGGAGTTTGACTAGTTCAGTAGCTACCTAGCAAGAATATTTTTTTTGTTCTAAGAAAATTAAAAAATCAGCTTGAATGGATTAAAATTGATTTAAAATTCCAGAAATAAATAGTACACCAGTTCTAAAAATGTATACAGCGTTTTCACCAACATTAATAAAACTCATGTCTAGCTTAAGGTTACTTTGCCTGTTTAGATTTATTGGCAAATTCGTACTAGTCAAATGCAGGTATACCAGCAAAGCTGCTCTCTCTACTGGCATAGTAGATGGAAACAAACTATATCAGTAAATCATAATTTTTCCCTCAACTCTCTAGTATAGCTTCTGCAGGCACAGCTGTTGTTACTTGGGGCTGATACTGAATTCTGTAATGTAGACTAGGGGTTACCAATAAAGATTTTCTTGGCTGATGCAAATAGTCAACTATTAACCAGCTACATTGACTGATACTAATCCAATAACCAATATTTACTAATAAAGCTTGTTGAATCAGCTTTAGTGCAAGTGTCCACCCCCACCATTTCTAAGTGTGAAGATGCTGATACAGGAGATGCATGTAAAAGTGCTCCATGCCAATCGCAGCCCCTGCCCTTCTGCCCCAGCTTGGGGGGCAGCTGCCTGAGCCTGAGGCTGCCCAGGGCTAGGTGGTTGCTAGGCCAGACTCCCTGCTGGGGGAAGGACCCTGCTGCACACAGTGGGGAGGAGTGGTTGCCTCAGCCCCTGCCAAGCTGTGCCCCTGGCCCCTGGGGCACAGACCCCTAGGCACTGCAGGTTGAGCTGCACTAGGCTAGGCTGGGCCAGGCAGGGCAGCTCAGCTCTGCCTGCCCGAGTCCCATCTGCAGGGTGTTTTACAGAGCCTGTCCTGGCCATAGTCTGCACCAGTGCCGGGGACACTGCAGCAGCTGCTCTGCTTCCGTCCAGCCTGGCCCACTGGTTAGGGTATCTGGGGCCAGCCCAGCTCGAGGGAGAGAACCCAGGCATCAGGGGGCCCCAGCCAGAAAGCATAATTAAGTATTGGAGATAGTTACCAGTTACAATGGCCAAAAAAAGCTGGTAGCCAGTAATGTAAATTTCCCTTTTATCAGAATGGCACCAATAGGCAACTGACATATTGGTGCACCTCTAAGTAGACTTGGCCTCAGATAAAAAATTTGAAAGAGATTTGTCAGAAGTCTCTCTCAAATAATCACACGTGTGAGAGGCGTTAAATATTTCTACAATTTAGGTTTAGGATGGAAAGAAAAGAAGCTAAGTATGATACTAGAACAATATCACAGTTGCCTTGGGGCATATAAAAATGATTTTTCCTACTTGTTTGGTTTGTTTCTTCCTATTAATCCAAATCTCTTTTCTTTACTTCCTTCAGGATCTATGTCCTTTTTAAATTCCCTTGTTCCCAGCAACTCAGGGCTAGATACCTCCTAGAGAGTCTAGAGGTTCTTCATATGTCTGAACACAAGGCTTTCTAAATATAAATCATCCCCTTTTCTCTGGCATTATTCTTCTTTTTCCTACAGAATCTCAAAGAGTTCTCTGCAGGGCCTGACATTTTCTCACAAAATATAAGGGGGAGCGCCATGGATGGTCCCCATATTGAATCTTCTCAAAAGTGAATATTGAGAGGATTATGGAGCCTATTATTTATGGGCCTTTTCAAGGCACTCAGTCTGGGAAGTCATTGGCATCATGCCCACAACAGGCAAACAGTCTGTGCCCAGATGGTATGGGTTATATAATGGTCAAATATTTAGTCCTTTCAAGCAATGTCTTCTTTGGAGTTTATAAGAAGAAAAAAAGAGTCTTAAAGGTTCATTCAGAGTTAACTTTTTACAGACAAGCTCACTGATAAGCAGTGTTAGGAACATATATTGTACCATATCACCTTAGATTCTAACTTAGGACTAATAAAACTTATTTTGCTGTTACTAATTTGTTTTCTCACTGTTATGACATGTTCATGGTGTAGGCTAGGAGTATTTACTGAGCATGTTAATTTGTTTTTTGTTACTTCATCTTCTCATTTTCATAAAAGATAATACATTTTCTTGGTGTTTTTACAGATGCAGAAAAAGAAATACTGAGACTTAATAGCTTAAAGCAGGTAAAAGAACTCTGAATGATGCCAACGCTAAAGTTGTTATAATAAAACTAACTATGAAGCAGCACACAATCTCTTGAAATTGTTTTTTACTACAGATTTTTTTGAATGTTTTTCATTTCAGTGCATGTTCAATTGTGGTAATCAAGGAAATAATCTAATATAATAAAAGCCTTAGTCTGTCTGTAATGCTTTTTTTTGCACTCTGGTTGTCTCGGCAGCTAATCACAATGCTGACTGAAATAACCAATCAGAGTGCTCTGCACAGACAGGCCATGATACTGGTAACTGAGGGGCCAGCAACGCTGGCCTCGCCCCCTCCTCCCCCCCCCCACCTCCCTTTCTGCTCCTTGGAGGCAGAGGACGATGGCAGAGTGCTGCCATGATGGTGGGGACGGAACGCGGAGCGAGGCCAGCAGTGCTGTCTTTGCCTCCCCACTCTGGTGGACGGAGCCAGAGGCAGAGTGGCGGTACTGGGTGGCGGTGCTCTGTTCCCACATGCCTTCCCCCCTGTTAGTCATGAAGGGCAATGGCGGTGACGGACTGGGACGGCGGAGCATTGCCATGATAGTGGGGACAGAGTGGGGGGGGCGGGCTGGGCCTGGCCTTGCCCCCACAACACCCCTGGCCCTGTTCCTTGGGGGCAGCAGCACAGGGGGCTGGCGGTGTCGTGCTGGCCTTGCTCCTCCGCTCTGGCTTCACTGCTGCTGCTGGGTCCCAACAAAAGATGGCAGGGATGGAGAGAAGAGAGGGAGGGAAGCAGGAAGTGGATGGGAGAGCACAGTGGTGGTGCCCCACTGCCGGGCCCCGAGAACACCTGGGAGGGACAGAGGGAGGGCAGTTGGGGAGAGGGTTGGGCACAACTGGATGTGCAGCGGTGGCAGCGCGGGCTGTTGGGTGGTGGCTGCAGCTGCCGTGTGCAAGCTTCCCCCTCCTCCCCCGGACCAGGGAGGCAGTGGTGCCATGGAGTGCAGGGTGGGGGGCCTGGGGCCAGAGGCAGAATGGCAGCAGCACGGGCTGTGGGTGACGGTGCTCCTTCCGCCTCTCCCCCCACTGCAGATACGCAGCTGGCTAGTGTCATATTAGCAGTTTAGAGACTGGACATAGAATGGATGGGGGGACATACTTATTCTGATTACACAGCCTGCTTTGTTAAAAGGAAGTTCTGGAACTTCAAGCAACAGGTTACTGTTCAATTTTACACAGCATATATATTTATGGATTTGAGTCTATCAAGTATTCACATTTAGACTTCTAGGTTTTTTTATACGACCTAAAATATCACCCATTTTCAGATTGTTCTGATGTTTTCATTTTTGTATGCTCTTCTGTAATACAGAATACCCGCAGATACTATTTTTTTTATACTTTGATCATAAGATCATAATTCCTTTGAAAATTTTGATTTTTATGAATTTCTGTTTTTATAGGCTGACAGTTTCATAGGTGCAGGAGAAGATTTTCCAGAAGTTAAAACAGATATACAAGTCCTAAAAGAAGAAAATCATAAGCTAAGGAAAGAGAAGGTATGTTTGTTGGAACTTTTGTGCTTTTAGTTTTATGTACACTTTTCTGCATCAGTGGAAATGGGAACTAAAGCATTTTTCTCTATCAAACACTGTACGTACACTCACATGCATATATTTTCGTTATTCTGTTTTAAAGTTTTCAAATTAGCCTTAAACTTCTATTTAAGAAACATGTCTGTCATCCCTGCATTTGGACAAGGTGTGTGCAAATATAACATCACTTAAAATATATTTATCTTTCAAACATATATGGAAGTATCATAAATTCTTATTTTAAAATGTAATGGTTTCAGTTAAACACTTGCATTAATGTAAGTGATTCTGAGTTGTTTTGTCACCGTATTTGTCTCTTCCACTAACCTGTTAACAGCAAAAAGTCTGTTAGTTAATGTGGCGTGAACATTTTGCGTATGTTATAAATACTACATGCCAGAAACTGATGTATATTGCATTTTAATGTTGACCACTTTTTAGAATGTCCTTCAATATTATATTCCTTTTGGGTGTTGACATTTAAAAAGGGACATTTAAACCAGTATTGCTGGCCTTATAGATGTAGCTTTCTACCAGTGTTTGTTTAAACATGGTTTATCTTCCAATGTAGTATTGCATTGTATTTTTCCAAACCTGTTTGCCATTATTTTCACCCTATCTGGGCAACCTGCTGTAGCAGAGACAGTTTATAATATTGCACCATAGGTCCAAAAAAAATAATTTTCTGGAAGTAGGTTATTAGGGTACGCATGTTGAAGCTTGCTAAGCACCAAGATGGAGCAAAGATTCTCTTGGAAATGCTGGTTAACTTTTGACAGGATTTCCTCAATATTTGATAATTACAAAATAGCTAGAGTTCAGTTTAGCTTACTGGGAGGACTGTGTGCCTGGTAGTGCACTTCCGTGTCATACTGATTAGGGGTGTGTGAAGCACGCCGTATTTGATTCGCATTTGGATTTGGCCCATTTCGGGAGACAGTGATTTGATTAGTTGATTCGGATCACTGTCGCAATTCGATTCAGCCAAATCCAAATCTGAAGATTTGATGCTGGTTCAGAGAACCAGCAATTCAGTCAGACACAGCTTCAAATGTTTTTTCTACATACCTCCAGGTACCAGCCATGGCTCATGAACGCTAAGATGGTGGGGCAGATGTAGTGTCCCACAGGAGCTTGAGGGGGGCCCCTGTGTGCTTGGTGTCAGACCCCACCCACTGTGATCCCTCCAGCTCGGCAACTGGCTGTGGGGGACCCCGGGTACCACCCCCAGACCCAGGAGGCACCAGTCCACCAGGGGGAGGTCCCCTGTGCATGCCAGTGGACCTGGAAGTGCTTCTGGTCCACTTCCGGGTCTGCCACTGATTACGCCAGGGACCCCACTACGTTCCTGTGAGACGCTCCATCTGCCCCACCATCTCAGCATTCACAAGCCACCTGGTACCTTGAGAATGTAGAAAAAACATTTAACGCTGTGTCTATGTCCGAATCATCAAATCTCTGTGAATCGATTTGGAGGGTTCCGATTCGATTCGGAGAGATTTAAAGGGTCTCCTGATTTGATTTGGATTCGGAGATTTGTCCGCGAAATCAAATCAGCGACCAAAGCTTTGCACAGCCCCAGTACCAATACTGTTGCACAGCTTCCAGCTGATGCAGTTAGGTAACTTAAGTGGAGCTGTTCAGCACATTGTATGTCACTCCTAGATACTGAATATGCAGCCTGACCTGACCTAAAACTCCCATGGCATTTTTTCTTCCTTTCTTCCTCTGTCATGTAGTTTGCTCCGCACCTAGGGCACATCTATTATGGAAGTATGAAATTTTACTCCCCTGAGAATATGTCCTGAAGAGGTAGATATATTTCTATTTAACTTATGGGTAATGTGACTCTTGTGTACAGGTATAAGTTGTTTTGGTATCTTTGTGATGAAAAGATAAGCATATATTAATGAGACATACATTCTTTAGAACGAATGAAGAGCACACACCAACTGCAGAAACTTCCTCAGCCTGACAAAGGGTTTTTAAACCCGAAAGCGTGCTTAAAATTTTTTCCAACTATTTAAGCTTGTCTAATAAAAGATATCAGATTCACCCAAAGAACCTTGTCTTAATTGGGATAGAATTCAAATAACCTTTTTTAGGGTTTCTGTACTCTAGCAAGCTAAAATCCAGTATTCAGAATGTATTTTTATGTTCAACTTAAGGAAGAACTTCAGAAGGAACTGTTGGACTTCCAGCAAAAAAACGCAGTTGTTACACCTGCTTCAACTGAAGATCAGACTTTGGAATTAAATCAGTTAAGGCAAGACTTGGAGAGGAAGGAGCATGAATTCAATGAAAGTATTTCTGAACGTGAAACTCTAAAAACAGAATTGGAAGAACTGGACAAGCAGAACCAGGAAGCTACACAGGTAGCAAATATTACAGAGAATTGCTGAACTTCTTTACATTTTAGTTATTAAGTCTGTGACATTTCATCTTTGCTCATGGGAGCCAGGGGATTTAAGGGTATGCCTACATTGCATGATCATGTGCCATGCTGTGGGGGCTCCCACAGCAGGTTGGGGCACCTGCATTGTAGCAAAGATGGCTCGTGCAGTGCAGCAGTGGGGAGAGGGGGACAGGAGTTTGTTCAGTGGTGTGTGCAGCTGGCACAGCATGTGGCTGGGGGGCCTGCAGTGCCTGGTCACTCAGAAGTTGGACAGCCCTGATGTAGGCTGAGCTGTAAGGCTAGTGCAGCAGTGTATTAATGTATGTGCAGTACCCGGGAATGGCTTAGATTCTTCTGCCTGCAGATTTGTGGAAGAAAATTTGTAAGGAGGAAAGGGGCAGTGAGGCTGTGGAGGGAGATATGGGAGTTATGTAGGGTTTATGTACATGTCTCGCCCTACTCCACCTGAACTCTCCTTTCACCCCAAGCCCTGCCTGGGGTTCAGCCTCTCTCTTGTTCTCAGCTGTTTCTTTTGATGTGTGATGGTGGCAGCAGGGGGCAGCAGAGAGACTTGTCTATGAACAGTACTTGGCAGTCTCTAAACTTACTTTCTGGTTTCCTGACTCATCAGGATCAGCAGTGCTCTGCCCATTGATGTTTAGGGCTTTCTCTTCAGTTTTGGAATAGACCATATGTGAGGTTACAAAGGGGTTTGGTTTGGGGTTGGGGGTGCCAATAAGCAGATTCTCAGCCCAGGGCCACACCAGAGTCTTCAACCAGCCCCAGTGTAGTCCTGGGGCTGGGATCTACATTTGCTGGGCCCAGCCCCAGTAATCACACAAGTCTTGAACCAGCTCCAGTGCAGTCCTGGGGCTGGGACTGACAATCAGCTCTGACTGTCAGTCCTAGTTCCAGGATTACACTGGAGTTGTTGAGCTGGCTCTGGTTACTCTGCTACACATTTGAGTTTAAACATGATGGAAGCCAGTTGCAAAAAATGTACACAAATGTTGCACATTTTTGTGTAACATTTTTATGGTTGGCATCCAGTTTTTGTGGTGCTATTAATTCCTTGACCCTGGAGAACATGCCCTGAGACTGCTCAGGTTCAGTCAGGCTGCAGGTGCCTGGCTTTCAACTTGCTGATTCAAGGGGAGCCTGGGATTGTGTCCTGCCATGCACTTGTTACATAGCGGGTACCACAATTCTTTGCATTAGGGGTCAGATCCCATTGCACCATTAAATGAACATGTGCCTCAGACTATGAATGCTCTTGCCATTATGCTGTTATAGCAAAGCTAACCACTATCACCACTCTTAAAAGCAGAGTGTGAGCTAATCGCCTGTACACAAAAGGGCATTGTAGGGCAGGAGTTCTCAGCTGCAAATCAGTCTTGCATCAGTGTTTAACCCCAGATTGAGTGAGTGTCAAAGATAGGAAGAAAGTTGGGTTCCAGGCACATTCCTGTTTCTTAGCAGTTGGTTTAGGTATTTCCCAGTGCAAGGGATTCTGAGACATCTAACTCCCTATCTCTCTAAAATATAGGGGGGATTAGGGGCCTAACATGGGTTTGTGACTTCTACTTTCAGAGCTAGATATCTGACTTCTAAGTCAGAAGTACTCAGTATTACCACATAAGTCGTTATTGTGAACCATTTTTGCTCCTTAAAAACTTTCCTCCCATCTGGTAAACTGTCCTGGAAGCCCTAACTGTATGGGGATCCAGGGCTAAGCAATGGCAGGAGTCCTTTTGGCATTGGGAAAAGGAGGCCATGCTAGCCATGGTAGCAAAAGTGGATTAGAATCTACAGGGACATGTCATCTAGTTCTTGCTGAAACTGCAGGGAGAATATAGGTATGAATACCATGTACCCAAACAGGAATTCTGTCTGGCACCTGGCAACAGTGAATAGGTAATTAGTAATTTACCTATAAAAATAAGAATAATGAACGGAGCAAACACAAAGGTAGGGAATTAGGAGGAGTCATTCCTGACCATCTTGGACAATAACATTGAAGACTAGCTGGTGAGACAAATGAGAATTTTTAAAACAAAGTACATCAGCACAGCCAGGATTGGGTACATCACCTTTATTTTGTGCATGTTTTCATAAAAAAAAAATTAGTTTTTCCTTCTGTATGAATAATGAAACAAAATCAGTATTTTTTGCTTCCAGTAACCAAAAAAATTAAACTCTTGACATTTGTATTGGCACCATTTTTACTTTAATTGTCACCAGGTAGACTGAATGAAGACAAGTCATTGTAGCCTCCTCTTCTATTCCTGGCCAGGATATGTTGATTTCCTGTGCTGGTTAGTGCTGCTTAATGTTGTGAGGCGATCTGGCCTCCATTTGCTTTTACATGGGTTCTAAGTATCTAATGGTTCCTGTAGCCCATCTCCAAAAAAGATTTAAAAACCTGAATTCTTAAACATATGTATAACAGTGGCAACTAATGATCACAATTATGTGGCATCCCGTGATTTAAGGCACTTAGTAAATAATACACAATGGTACAAAAACTCAAAGGTTGTAAAGTTTCATACAAACTTAATTCAGACCCCTTGTGTGAATGCCTTATGATACATTACATAACTGCATACCTAGTTGCATGCTGTTTTTTCACAAGACTGCAGTAGGTGTACAGGACGGACCCTAAGTGATAGCTACTCAATATTTCTTTTTATCTTTATTCAGTATGTGGCTCCAGATCCTATTACTGCATATCCAGAAACAGAATAATTTATTCAAATGTTTTCCATGATGCTGTTTCTTAGTTCTTTTACAAACATTTGAAGACTTGATTTTTAATAAAAATGAGGTGATATTGTTATCTCTATTTTGCACATTAAAATTAAAGTCTTATTGACAAATGTCAGCTAATTTCCAGTGCCTGGTTGGAGAGCACTATAACCTGTTTTACTTTTTGTAGAAAACACACAAAGTTGTATGATCAGAGCAGAGCTTGCATTTGATAATAGTTGTATCTGTGAATGCTTAATATTTCTGGAAATCAGATACTGGGTGTTCCTAATTTGTATACCCAGAAAGTGAGGAACACTCAGTGGCCAATGTTGTTCGTTTAAGCTGACCAGCATCACCTAGGCAACCTTAATTCAGGTGTTTCCTAAATTTTGATTTGGCAACCTACTGCTCCCTTAGAAAGTTACATGTAAAAAAAACAAAACCCCAAACTCTGCATTATGTTTATGTAAAAAGAAACCAAAAAACCCCAACCCCAAAATAAAGACAAAAAACCCTTTATACATGGAAAAAAGGAATTTCATCTTGTTGGCTCCCTGAATGGGACAAGCAGGCCTGTCATCTTCAAATGTGCAGCTGAGGTGGCCAGCCTGCAGCATGCATGCCACAAATAACGAGAGCAGCCTCTGTGTGTCATGCGGCAGATCAGAGAGGAGATGACAGCACAGTAGCTCATAGGGCAGAAAGTAAAGCAGCAAATCAGGTAAGAAGCACAGGGAAGGAAGCAGAAAGCAGAGCAGCAGACCACACAGGGAGCACAAACTCGGAAACAGAAAACAGAGCAGGCAAGAGCATGAGATTGGAGTAGCACTGACACAGGGTGGGGGTCTAAATGTGGCACACCTGCCATAAGGGTTCATCCCCACTGATCTGCAGCTTCTCTACTATTTGAACTAATGGAGTAACTGGTCTACTGTTATGACCTTTCAGCGGCTGAAAGCCGGCAGTGTAATGAAGCCATCAACAAAGCCAATCGCACCTTATCATGCATTAGCAGATGTATGACCAACAGATCAAGGGAGGTGATGCTCCCCCCTCTACGAGGCATTGGTCAGGCCACAGTTGGAGTACTGTGTCCAGTTCTGAGTGCTGCACTTCAAGAGAGATGTGGCGAATCTGGAGAGGGTCCAGAGGAGGGCCACTCATATGATTAGTGGTCTCCATGCAACACCCTACAAGGGGAGGTTGGGGGATCTGGATCTCTTCAGCCTTCACAAGAGACATCTGAGGAGAGACCTTGTAGCAGCCTATAAGTTTATCAAGGGAGGACAACAGAGAGTTGGAGGTGCACTATTTACTAAGGCATCCCTAGGAGTAACTAGGAATAATGGGTACAAACTAGTGGAGAGTAGATTCAGGTTAGACATTAGGAAGATATTTTTCATAGTAAGGGTGGCCAGAATCTGGAACAGGGTGCCAAGAGAGGTGGTGCTATCACCTAGCTTGGAGGTCTTCAAGAAGAGTCTAGATAGGCACCTGGAATGGTCATCTGACTTCAGTCCTTTGCTTGCCTGGGGCAGGGGGTCGGACACAATGAGCCTTCGGCATCCCTTCCGACTCTACAATCTATGAATCTATGATCTCTTAGAGGGAGAATGAAGACCAACTTTGTTTGTGGGTTTCTAAGTTGTTTGTTAGACAGTAAAACAATGCTTAGGTCCTTAAGGAGGATGTGTTTTAATATTTATAAATGTTCCTGCACTGTCCCTTTAACCTCTCTTGGCCCACTTTGGATCCTGACCTCCCTCCTGCCTGGGCATCCTGAATTTGTCCCTGCCACCACTTCATCTATTGCTGTTTGTTTGAATCAAATGCCTTCCTTCCTCATGCTGCTTGAGGCAGCATGTACCAAAGCACAAGAGACAGTTTTCCTTTCCTTAGTGGCACAGAAATCCCCAGCAGCTGGGAGAAGTGATCGCAAAGAAAGTCTCTGAAGCTTTAAACACAGAACATGCTCAGCTCTTGTTTCTGTGTGGGGTGGCATTTATTCAGTCTTCAGCACAGAGGAGCTATGAGGGGGGATCTGGCTCAGTGATGATCAGATATTCGGAGAATTTAGCTGCAGATCTCTTTAACAAGTTTTTACTGTGCATGTACATAATTGAAATTGTTTAAGGGGTAGAACTTGGCCAAACTGGAATATGTTTTTTGCAATAGTCAGAGATGTATTTTGCAGTTCTGACTGTGTGCTCGCTTTCTTCTGCCATGCCACAGAATTTCAGATCCCTACTCAAAACCTTAGAGACAAAGCTTTAGTGAAACAGTTGTAAGAATATTTTTAATATGGACAAAACAGCATGTGTGTTTTTCCCCCCTCCCCCTCGATCTTGTTCTTAAAATATGAGTCAACTATTTTAGCTGAAACTTCTTCTGAAAAAATTATCACCTTTAGGGAAATGGTTTGTTTGGCACAGTTGAATTATAACAGAGTTCGTAATGGAAAGTGTTGGGCAGTCTTAACTAGATGTGTCAATGTTTCCAATACTTATTATAAATTAGATGTTTCTAAAATATTAAGTCCTGTTCTGTTACTGCTACATTAAGGATTTTAATTTTCCAAAAATACTTTTGACCTGGATAGATACTGAAAAATTATTTTCTGTGTCTCAGCCATACCTTGCAGGTGTGGGCTTTTTTCATGGCTAAAGGCACTGTGTAGACCAAAGAAAGTTTTCATTTGAAGTATAATGCCTTTCCCATTCTTCTGCTGAATTATTCCAGTATATGTCAAACCTTTCTTGAGAATTACTGACATCCTGCATGGAGGTGCAAGCATAGCCAAAGAGCAAGATATTTGGTAGGGTTTTTAATTGGTTTGTTTTACTTTAAAAGAAACTAAATAGCTGTCTACTGAACAGCAGATGCCAAGAAAATTTGGCTTTGCTGGTGTTGAGTTCTAAATTAACATATCTTCTCAGTAGAGAGAAATGACTGTTTTGTCCACTTTTCAAAATAATCACTGGTCCATATTTTTTCAGAGTTTCTTTTAATAAGTATAGGAGTGGGTCAGAAATATTTTAGCACTTGTATTAAAATTATTAATCCCTAGTTGGGATGAATATTTTGACAAAATCTGTAGTAGGGAGGCAAGCTTTTCTACCTGCCAGAAAATGTTTGTATTCATAAATAATGTTATGTATTATGTCAATATATCTGACATTAATCATAGTTTCTTATTTTTTTTCTTCATTTAACAGATATAAATGTTATATTTAACACTTAAGATTTAACATTCTATTTAACAAAGTTATATTTAACATTTGGACAATGAAATAAAGATTGATTCCACAGGTTTGATGGGATAAGTTTTAGTCATTTGCAACTGACTCCTATTTCTGCCAACCTTTTTTTTTCCTTTAAGGAAAAAAATCTTAATTTTTTAGTTGCCCAAAATGACGAAGGGTTGAAATGAATAAAAACTGTTGTTTTACTGGCTCTATTACTATCCTAACAATTTTTTTCTCTGCATTTTTAGCATATGATTACACTGAAAGAGCAGCTATCAAAACAGCACACAGAAACTGATAGTACCATCAACCAACTAAAACTTGATATAGATATGGAAAAAAGGAGAGTGTCCGAACTGGAAGCTGAGAAGATGGAAATGATTAAGGAGCTTGGAGTTCAGAAAGAAAAATTGACTCAGTGTACATTTGCACTTAATGATTTGCATATGAGTAAGCAGGAGCTTCAGGATAACATCAAGGGCCTACATGAAAAGCTAAAGAAAGCCCAGGATTGTAACTTAAATAATAAAAAAGAAATTGCAGAATTGCAGCAAAAACTGAAAGAAAAAGAGGAACTTTCTGTATCCCAGAACAAGTTAACCAAAATAAATAATCAGGAATATAACATTAGCTGTCAAGAAAAAGAAGCAGAAATTGCAAAATTGAATCAAGACATTGCAGAAAATAAGCAATTAAATAAAATTTTGGAGAAATCTGTGTTTGATCTCCAAGCAGAAAATGAAAATCTGTTTGCAGACTGTGAAGAACTAAAGCGGCAGTTGCATGAAGCCATTATGGAGAAGAATAAAATTTCCTTGGAAAAAGGTACTATGCTGGAGGCTTTGACAATGGAAAAAGGACAGTTGAAATCTGAATTGAATCAGACTGAAAAGAGGCTGTTGGAACAGGCACATAAATATGAGCGAACCATTGAGGAATTAACAAATACACGTAGCTTGAACACCACAGCATTGCAGCTAGAACATGAGCATCTGATTAAACTCAATCAAGAGAGAGATTTTGAAATAGCAGAACTCAAAAGAAACGTTGAGCAGATGGAAACTGACCATCAAGAAACTAAAGAGATGTTGACAACTAGTTTGGGAGGACAAAAGCAGTTGACAGAACTCATAAAAGAAAAAGAGGTGTTTGTTGAAAAATTTAAAAATCAAGCAATACAGGTGCAGCGAGAACTTGAAGAATATATTAAGGCTTCCAAAAAGCATGAGACTGTAAGACAGAATTTAGAGGAAAAGGACAGAAATCTTGCAGTGATGAAAGAAGAAAATAATCATCTGAAAGAAGAGATTGAAAGACTGAAGGACCAGCAAAGCAGATCTTCAGTTGTGGCTGAGCCCAAAACTTTAGATATTATTACTGAACTTGAAAGTGAGATAACACAGTTAAAACTAATAAAGAATAATCTTGAAGAGGAAATAAAGTTTCACAAAAAAACAATTGAAGACCAGCATCAGAAAACAGTGCAACTTCAACAGTCTTTGCAAGAGCATAGAAAAGAAATAGATGAATCTAAATTTCAGTGTGAGCAAATGAATGTCACACATGAAAAACTTTTCTTGGAGAAAGATGAAGAAATTAAAAGTTTACAGAGAACAATTGAACAAATTAAAATTCAGTTGCACAATGAGAGGCAAGTCATTCAAACAGATTCTTCTGATCTCTTTCAGGAAACCAAAGTCCAGACTCTTAATGGAGAAAATGGAAATGAAAAACATGATTTATCTAAGGCTGAAATTGAAAGGCTGGTAAAAGGAATAAGAGAGAAAGAAATGGAAATTAAACATTTGAATGAAAAGAATGTCTCTCTGACTCGACAAATTGACCAGTTGTCCAAAGATGAAGTTGGTAAACTCACTCAGATCATTCAAGAGAAAGACTTAGAGATACAAGCTCTCAATGCAAGAGTTTCCTCAGCATCTTACAGGCAGGACGTACTATGCCTTCAACAACAGCTGCAAGCTTATGTCATGGAAAGAGAGCAAGTGCTAGCAGTTTTGAGTGAAAAGACTAGAGAGAACAGCCAGTTAAAAGCAGAGTATCATAAAATTATGGATATGGTGGCTGCTAAAGAAGCAGCTTTGATAAAGTTACAAGAAGAGAACAAAAAATTATCTAATAAGTTTGAAAACAGCAGCCAGGACATGTTTAGAGAAACTGTTCAGAATTTGTCTCGTATCATTCGAGAGAAAGATATTGAAATTGATGCCTTAAGTCAGAAATGCCAAACTTTATTGACTGTCCTACAGACATCAAGTGCAGGTACTGATAATGGGTCAGGAGGTGTTAACAGTAATCAGTTTGAGGAGCTTTTACAAGAACGTGATCAACTAAAACAGCAAGTTAAGAAGATGGAAGAGTGGAAGCAACAGGTTATGACAACTGTTCAGAACATGCAACATGAATCAGCTCATCTTCAAGAGGAGCTACATAAGCTTCAAGCACAGATTTCGGTTGACAGTGATAGCAACTCTAAATTACAGCTAGATTATAATGGCTTAATTCAGAGTTATGAACAGAATGAGAGAAAACTGAAAAGTTTTAGTCAAGAGTTAGTACAAGTTCAGCATAGCATAGGACAGCTTCATAACACCAAGGACCTTCTTCTGGGAAAACTTGATATGGTAAAGCCACCATTGCAGATGGCCTCTTCTGGTGTTTTACAAGCTTCAGGTATTCCAAGTGGTACTCCTGAAATACTCAGTGACCACTCTAAGCAACTTCAACAGGAATTGGAACGGCTGAAAAATATAGTTCAGGAAAAAGATGCGACTATCAAAACTCTTCAGGAAAATAATCAAAGGCTATCTGATTCCATGGCTGCAAAATCAGAGTTAGAAAGAAAGGGCCAAGAGGAGACTGATTCAGAGATGAAGCAGATAAGGGGAAAACATGATGTTTTGCAGAAGTCTCTTAAGGAAAAAGATCTCTTGATTAAATCTAAAAGTGATCAGTTGCTTTCTGTAAGTGAAAATCTTAGTAACAAAGAAAATGAAAATGAACTTTTAAAACAAGCTGTAACTAATCTTAAAGAAAGAAATCTAATTTTAGAAATGGACATCCGTAAGTTGAAAGAAGAAAATGAAAAAATAGTTGAAAGGTGTAGAGAGAGAGAAACAGAATTCAGAGCATTACAAGAGACTAACATGCAGTTTTCAATGATGCTGAGGGAAAAAGAATTTGAATCCCACTCAATGAAAGAAAAAGCTCTTGCTTTTGAAAAGCTATTGAAAGAAAAAGAACAGGTAAGTGGATGATATTTAATAATTCTGGTAGTTAAGAATTTTAAGGGGGAAATACAGATATTTATTTTTGACTGGAAATTGTAACTGGACATTCCCTAGGATTGTCATAGCACCCCTTTGGTGGCCACCTGACTCCTGTCCAGCCTTTGCTCTCACGTCTCAGGTTCTTCCCCTGATATCTCGCTTGCCACGCCTTGATGTTGCTAATGAAGAGTGGAGGTTGCACGTAGAAGCTGGCGAGCTCTAGGTGCTCTTGTTAGTCCCTTTTTGCTACTCTGAGGTCCCCTGGCCTGCTTGGCTTGGAATTCAGACCGCAACACCTGAAGTCTCTCTTCCTTTTTGCTGTGGACTAATGCTGGGCCCCTTGAGCCCCACACCTTGTCCAGGTTTCAGCCTGTTCAGCCATAACCTCTTTTTCCTCTAGCTGAGGCCCCTCAACCTAGGTCCACTGACTTTGGCCCTGGCTCTCCAGGCCTCAACCTCCCCGCAGAGGGTGCCTGCCAGGTACCCACTTGTGGCTCCTCTGCCCCTACAGCCATTCCCAAGTCTCGGGGTGTCCAACAAACATACACTAGCACCACTGAAATGTAAGCAGGCTGCTTTCACCAAGTTTGTCCCTGCTGTCTGACATTATCCTCTCACAAACTATAATTCCCAGGGCTAGACCCACTCTCCCCCTTGTGGGAAGCTTGGGTACCCCTGGGCATTGCTTCCCTCAGTCAGCTTCCCTGAGGGAGCCTCTCACCCTGGAAGCTGCAGGATCCAGCTTCCCACTCTGGCTCAGGCCCTGGGCTTATATGCCTGGAAGCCCTGCCCCTTTTCTGTCATGTGCCTTCTTCAGTCCTGCACAGGGGTTTTTCCCTCTTAATTAAGGGCCAGCCTGCACTCCTGCAGCTGCAACCCCATATGGCTGGCTTAGCCTGCTGCATCCCTTTAAAGTGGCACAAGCCCCCTGGGTCCCTGGTACAGATCCTCTCAACCTGAACCATTTGCTTCAATCCCTGGCCCTATCGCAAATGTCTCTCCTTTTTTTTCTCTTCATACTGACTTGCTGGTCACCTACCTTTATGTGGACTGCTTTTGCACATACCCCAGAGGTGCTGGTTGCTTTTTCCTTCCCTTTCCAATCTTAGCTCAGTAGTCCCCACAGCCTGGCTTCCAGTAAAGGCTTGTTCCCATCTCCTCCCTCTCCATTGTGTCCAAGTAACAGGGTTTGGGTTCCCTGTTACAGAGATGTGGTCTTGAATTCCCACATAGTCTGGAAGTTTTGGCCTGAAAGCAACTCGTCAGTATGTACTTATTACTTGGAGGAGAGAAGAATTGTTGAAAGAAAATTTATTGAGGTTGTGAAGTCTGGTAAGAATTAAGGTTACCTGCACAAACTGAATTTGTCCCCTTTGTGTTAATGTATTATGAGACTGTGTATTTGGATAACATAATCACGTTCTAGTTTGTTTGTTTCTAGTACATAATCATGTTTCTAGTTTGTTTCACGTTGTCTCTTCCTCAGTAGGTGATCTATGCTCACTGAATTTTGTTTTAAACTTCTTGTTCAGTGTGTGGTCTGTTACCTTTATGGCACAGTGTTCAATCTTAGAAGACAGAATTATTGCTTTTTGTGACACCCGTCACTACAGAATCTTCTGTTGCAACTGTGAGTGCACAGAACTGCTCAGTAGATCAAAGGGTCTCAAATTTGGAACAGAGAATTGAGGAACACTTAGTGACCTCTTGTGGAAAGTTTCTTGTAAGAAATTGACCTAACATGGCATAGAACAGTGAATCTCAAGTAGGCATGGCATCCTGGGTGCCACAGGATCCTTTTTAAGGGTACTGTGCAATATTTGCACTGTTCAGTGTGCAAATACCTATACATGACCCACATGGTAAGCCAAGACAGTTAAAATAGAAATCCATAGTATCAGAAATATTCTAACATGTGGTCTTCCTGACTTCTTTGCCACAGTAGAATTGCTCGTATTTGTCCACAGTGAAAAAATGAGCAAAAGCTAAGAGGCGAGATTTTTCTGAGGGTTGCTTTGAGTCTAATGACTGTTGCCTTAAGTCTAACAAGGTTAGAAACCACTGGGATAGCAACTCTGTGGCAGAAGTGCAGATAGAAAGTATTTTTCCAGTGTGTCATTCAGGCATCTTAGTTGTGAGAGCTTGTTTTTCCCCATGTCTTGGAATTCCTGTCTCATCCACTTTGCATGCTTCAACTTTGGCACTAAATAAGTTTGGTGTCCTGAGATGAGTCTTCTTCCTTAAGCTGTCTTAATTTGTCTCCATGCCTGGTCTGTCATGTGGAAAAAAATAGTTTGTAATCAGTTAATGAAAAACTGTAGTATAATGTATTCACAAAAGGGGCTGAATTCATCTTGCATGAGTAATCTTAAATCTTGAATTCCTAATTTTGAGTGCCCAACTTGCAATTGTATTATTTATTTTGAAGGGGGATATTTGAGCGAGGTGGAGACCTAGGTTGTAAAATAGCAAAATGGGGGTGGACATATGCCAATGAACCATCATATCAACACCCATTGGGTCATAATCAATGCTAGACCTTTAGATCCACTGCATAACCCTTGCCATTTGAACTACCTCCACAATTAACAGCACCACTATGTTATCATCATCTGTTTGGCACTAGAGGGAGGACAGCATGCTTTGTCATGTGGTTCCTCAGATACTTGCTAACAGCAGAGGAATAGTAAGATCTAGGTATCCTGGCTCCCACTGCAGGTGCTGGAGAGGAGTGTGCTCTAGTGGGCATACATAGTAGACTTGTGTGAGTCAGCAGCAATCCGATCCAGCTTTGGATCTGGCCGCTTTGGATGGCCGCGATACGATCTGGAGATCTGGACCGAGTTTCCGCCTCCATCCAGCCGAAGCGGCTTTGGAGCTGCCTTGGAGATCTGACCTTAGGGTATAAGGGAGAATCAATGAAATATCTATAACCCAGAGATCTGGACTGGGTTTCCGCCTCGAGCCAGCTGACGCGGCTCCAAAGCTCTTTGGAAGCTCTGAACCACTTTGGGAAGCCTAACAAGGCCAGCGCTTCGACCCAGATGTGCTGCTTTGGACCTGGAAGCATCCGAAGCTTCTCCAGATCCAAAGCTCTGTCCGAAGCCTCGCACAGCGCTAATACATGGTCTTTTCTGCCTGTTTCTGTCCAACTTGACCTCTCTTTTGGCAGTTGGCTTCAACCTTTCTGTCCCATTCCGTGTTCCTTTTTCTAGTCCCATTCTCACGTAGCCAGTCCTAGTCTTGGTTCCTCTTCCTAATTCTGTTCCTTTCTTGTCCTAATCCCTATCCCATTCCTTCTATCCAACTTTTGCTTCCCTGTCCAATTGTTCTTGCTCACTCTAGCGCACTGATTTTAGTTCCTCTTCTGTATTTTTCTACACACCGTTATTTTCCCGTCGCCTCATCGCTGCCTTTAGGGCTTATTGTCCTAGTCTATTTCCCCAGCTACTTCCAGTTTTCTAGCCATACCCTGGTTCTTTGTCAGATCACCTCTCCTTCCCTATAATTGCTTTTCCCATTCCCTGCTAGTTCTCAGTCTCATTCCATTCATGCTATTTCTCCAAAACCCCAGCCTTGTTCTTGGAACCATTTCCAAATCAAAAATCAGCCCAAGGTACATGTGCACATGGGAAACTTTAGCTCAAGTGGCTGAAGTCTGGTAAAAAGCATTTGAAAGTAGGGTCTTATAATTAAATGTTTTGGGAAATCTGTCAGCCTCATCTATAATGAAACCTTGCAGAAATGAATAAATTCCAAGATTTTGCATAATTTATTGCAAGCTTTTTCTATTCAGAATCTCTCAAAAAAACATATTTTGTTTTAAAAAATGACCAGTCCTACTCTTACTAAGAGAGTAATGCCTAAATAAAACATTGCAGAGTGACATTTCTTAGTTTTAATAATTTAATTTTCAAATGGGATATAAAATTTGTCATTCTTTAGGCTATCTCTATTATACTGTACCAAGTGTGTGTATATCATATACCATATATTTAAAACTTCATAGATTTAATGTATTTGAGTTGTTTCATATGAAATATGTTTATGACTTGCTGTATATGGCAGTTAACATTTTTGTATCAATTCTTTTCATGCATGACATAAGTACTTGTCTGTAAGCTGGTTTAAATTTTCAATAGATTCTATGAAATTGCCACGATTAGGAGCTTTAATCTCTTTAAAACAGTTCTTTTGTGGAAAACATGTGTATTAAATTCCACTGTGGTATTCCATTTTACTTTCAGTCATTTCAATAGCAAATCTGTTGCTGAAACAATAAATGGACAATAAAATATTTGACGATAAAGTGCATTCCGTATGTCTAAGTGTATTGGTAATATTATGATAAACGCATACAGGTTACATGGGTGAAGACAAATGGTATGTAAATGTCTGTGCAACTTATTGGTGTATAAAACTAGTGTAACTTACTTGCATTGGTGTTTACATAAGAACCAGCTTTGCTAAAACAGCTGCCTAAGTAAGTGCTATTACTTTAAAGCCCCACTGGGTGTCAGGGGAGCTGATAAGTCTCAGCAAACACCTACCCCAGAATTAAATTTGACTAGAGCTGCAAATAAACAACAATTGTACATTGGTGTGACTTCATTTGATGTATAGTTACTTCTCTTTGCAAGCAGTAACTTTCCTCAGACTTTCTGCTGACTGTCTCTAGTATAGGCCTATATGTAATGAACCTGTTCCTCATTTATATGAGTAAAATACAGATTACATTGGTGTAAATGTCTGTTGTGCAAAGGCCTTAACTAGATTTCCTCAGGAGCCTCTGTTACCATTGTAATGTAGGCATGAGGCACCAGTGTCCTAATTATACCTTGTCAGATGTAGATACGTTAATTCTGTTAGGCTAGCGAGCATCACCCAGGCTAGGAAACCCCCCAGAATGGTTATCTAGACTCCATCTTTAGGAACTGATATCTCTAAAGATCCACCAAGGAAGTAGTTTAGACAGGCTCTTAGAGTTTTAGGGGATAAAAATGTTTCTTGATATTTCAGCCTTCTGTTTAGCAACATGGAAGACTGGACCTTGAGGGTGCTGGCAGACATGCATTTAATGGCATGATGAACTGATCCCTAATCCCAACAAGTCCCACACATGCATGGCAGGACACACAATTGTTGGGATAAGGGAACAGATCCCAATGAGCATGACTGCCGGTGCAGGGACCCTGGTATGGGGGACTAGTCCCCAATGCTGTGCTTCCCACAGTACCCTCTCAATTTGCCAGCATGTATGGAGCCCAGAGTCAAGATTCCCAGCTCTGCACACAATGGCAAGTTGACAGAGCCCGAACTGCAGTCCTGCATAGGCCTCCCCCTGTTGCAGGTTTGCAAGCACCAGTTAAGGGGAGAGTTGACCAGCTCCCCCCACCTGGCATCTGCAAACTTGTGTACCCACCACTCCTGCAGGTGGGGCTTCACCAGTGGTTTTAAAGGACTTGCCACACCAGGATCTTGGGGGGTGAGGAGCTTCTCCTCAGTCAGAGGCCCTAGTACACTGGGACTTCTAAGAACATATTAGAACTATATGCCAATAAAATAATTTCCAAATAGGCAAGAGGATATGCCTCGTGAATAGATGGTTTGTTCATTTGTTTCACTGCTGGTGTATTCATGTCTCTCTTTTTCAGTTTATAAACACTTTGGGTAGAGACTGCCTTCTTTTCTGTACTTTGCATATTTGTGCAGAGATAAGGGATAAATAGTAACACTCTTTTTGTACAAAGCATATATTTTTTACTTTTTTAATATAGATTTCCAACATTTGTTAATCATATATCCTCCTCCAAAAGGGCAAGACAGGGGAGTTGAATCAGCTGTTAAATGAAGTGAAGTCAATGCAAGAGAATGCTGTTAGTTTTCAGCAAGAGAGAGACCAAGTCCTGGTAGCGCTCAAACAGAAACAAATGGAGAACAGTGCCCTACAAAATGAGGTAGGACATTTAACAGTTAACAAGCATAAAAGAGCATGAGTGGGGGAAAAAATTACTATGCCAGAGTTAATTGATAAGGCAAAATAAAGTCTCTGTAAGTACAGAAGATATTTTAAAAATATATCCCTATGTATTACAATTTGTTAGGGAATCTTTTTTTGGTTTGTATAACCTTGCACAAAGCCATGTCATCCAACTTAAAATGTATTCTAACTAGGTGCAGCATTTGCGTGAAAAGGAGCAACGTCTAAACCAGGAATTAGAGAGGTTGCGTAATCACCTTTTAGAAATGGAAGATTCTTACACGCGGGAAGCTTTAGCTGCAGAGGACCGGGAGACCAAGCTGAGAAAGAAAGTGACTGTATTGGAGGAAAAACTAGTATCCTCCTCAACTGCAGTGGAAAATGCAAGGTAATGTTTCCCTCTATCTAGCCATAACATGTGTTCGAATTATTACAGTATGCTAGAAGGGAGGAGGAGGAGAGGTGGTGTGCTGTCTGGGCTTCAGAGTCAAAAGTCCTCTAGAAAACAAGATAAGAAGTAAATTATTCTAAATCAGAAATCTGTTCTGAAACTACCTAGTGCAGCTCTGTTCTGGACCAGAAAGCAGGATATATCTTTAGGGGAGTAGTCATAGAAATAATGGGGTTTGAGAGTAACTTAATTTTTAAAAAAATGTTTCAAATGCAAACCAATCCATTAATTTAACAATGTACAAAGTAGCGGATGTGAAAGAGGCATCGGGACCCAATCTATTTTAAATGTACCTTCTTACCTAAATCCTCACAGGTTGACTTGCTGGCTTGTTTTCTATCTGATGTTTTCTAAGAATATTAGTACAGTAAAAGCTGTGTTAACCGGCACTTTATAAGCTGGAAAACTCTATTAACTGGCATCTGAGTGAAGCAGCAAAAGTGAAACCAGAAGTACCACTTCCAGGGGACTTCCCATTTTGCTGCTGCGAGCTGTTTTTCTTTGCCACTCTTTTGGCTCACAGCCCAGGGCAAAGCAGCCTGTGCGGGGTCCCCCTCCCTGTCCCCCGGCACACTGACACTGGGGAGTGCACCAGGCAGTGCACATTTGATTAACCAAAATATTTGATTAACCGGCATCCCCCATTCCCGGGGGATGCAGGATAACAGAGCTTTTACTGTATTAGTATTTTTACTTCCATGCTTTTCAGTATCTTTACTTCATGCCCAAAACATAAATATTTGTTTTTTGGCTGTAGTAATGCTTTCTGCAGTAGGTTTGCCCTCCATAAAATATCTGGGTAGCTGTGACATCAGCAGGATGTATTTGAGTCCTTGCAGGGAGAGGTGCTGCAAGATAGAGCAGCTTATTATCCTTATAATATCTGCCGTAGTCTGCAAATGCAGGGAATAGACTCAGTGTCTCAGCAGGCCCCTTTTATTCCTAACTTGTTCTTTTTCTAGTAGCATTTTAACAGGAACACTATTATCTTAACCAGACTATAAGTTTTAAGATGATCCCATCATTTTCTTGAAACTCATATGTTAATCTGATCCACTTTAAAGGAAGTCCATCTGTTTTTAATTTGACCTCGCATCTAATTCAACTGTCCAAATCACTCTGATTAGGATCATAGGTAATAAGGAACCAAAATGGAGCGCTGCCATTATTGAGGAATAGATCTTTTCTTCTTTTCTGTTAAGTTTCTAAACTCAGCAACTTCCTGGGGATGATGATTCTTGTATTTTAGTTTCATAAGGAAAAGAGAGGGAAGGCTCTGGCAAACTGTTAAACTTAAAGCATATTTAAGTTAGAAACCTTTGTGGCATCTTTATAAACAAGGCTCCTGTATAATGCTTTGTCCTTATCTCAGTCATTGCTGTAAATAGTCTTGGCACAGAAACATATGTTCTTTAAAAAACAAATTGTATGCTTATTTCATCAAACTTTTCAGTTTTATTACTATCTCTCTTTATTTCCCCTTTTTAAAGTTGTTTCAGCTTTTCATACCAATATAAATGGAAGTAACACAGTGACTTGGGTGATCCACAGTGAATTAGATGCATAATCGTCTGGTGAATATAAAAGAAGAATGTGTTATCAGTTGGAGACTGATTTAAAAACATCAAGAAAATTAGTGGAAGGCCCCTGCTGATTTCTGTGAGAGCTGAATTGGACCTTCAGAGAGACCAGAATGTCATTTCTTTTCAAACAGATCGAGTCATATGTACAAAAAGGGAAAAATATATTTTCTTTCTTCCAGGTGTTAAAATAGCAGATTTATTACAAATGGAAAGAGACAATACTTGTCCTGAAAGGTTGCATAGTGTACATAGTGAATGTTTCAGTATTGAACTCTTGACTTTAGAATTGGACTTGTAAATTGAACTTAGAATTGGAGATGGTAGATTTAAAAAATCTTGTTGAGAAGCCTGGCTTAAAAAAAAAAAAAGACCTGCCGAGGTGACTTTTCTAAACTGCTTGATTTAATATGATTTTTTTTGTTTTGCAGCCATCAAGCCAGTCTGCAGGTAGAATCCTTGCAAGAGCAGTTGAACTTGGTTTCTAAGCAGAGAGATGAAACTATGCTTCAGCTTACCAT